ATAAACAACCCCTAAACAAAATTTTAGCAAACTGAATCTGGTCGTATATAACCAGCTTGATCAAGTTGAGTTTATCTTAGGAATGAAAGGTTGTTTTTACACTAGAAAATGCGTCAGTATACTGTTATCAATTAACAAATTAGGGGAAAAAAACCCAGATGTATGGAGACTGTATGTATTAGTGTGTGAGGACAAAGATAAAATTCAGCCTCCATTCATGTTATAAACTCTTAGCAAACTAGAACTAGAGAACTTTTTTAGTGAGATAAAAGGTTCCAAAACAAACAAACAAAGAAAAACCACACACAGAACCCAACACGATAGCTGTAGCATGCTTAATGATGAAATGTTGACCTTTTTCCCTCCAAGTTGAGGGACAAGGTGTTGATGCCTGCTGTGCCCCCACTGCCATTGTTATTAAATATAGTGCTAGGAATTCTAGTCCATGCAGTGAGGCAAGAGGAAGAAAGAGACTGTATAACTGCTGAAATGAAGAAAACCATCATTACTCTTAGATGGTATGATCATGTAAATAACTTACCTGTAGATTCTTTGGAATTTTTAAGCAAGTTTAAGAAGTGTGACTATAAAACAATATTTTAAAAAATCAGTTTTATTTCTATATGCTAGCAAACAGTGCTTTAGACGATGAAATTAACAGCAGAACCATTTATAATAGAATCAAGAAACAGGAATTAAATCTGACTTTAAAAAGCACAAGACCTCTAGGGGAAAATTGTGACTCTTAGTGGAGAGAATATATCATATGTGTGTGTATGTCTGAGTGTGTTGTAACTCGAAATCTAATTTAAAATTTTTATGGGAATACAAATTAGAGTTGACCTTTGAACAATACACATTTGAACTGTGCAGATCCACTTATATGCGGATATTTTCAGTGGTAAATACTCCAGTAGTACAGGATCGATGGTTGGTTGAATCCGCTGATGCTGAGGAACCGTGGATACTGAGGGCCTGCTATAAGATGCATGCAGATTAACCCCCGCCTTGTTCAAGGGTCAACTGTACCTAGAATAACCAATACATTCCTTTTTTTATATTGACATGTAGTTGATTTACAATATTATGTTATTTTCAGGTATAAAACATAGTGATTCAATATTTTATAGATTATACTCCATTTAAATTTATTATAAAACAAAGGCTGTATTTCCCTGTGCTGTACAATATATCTTTATTGCTTATCTGTTTTATACTTAGTAGTTTGTGTCTCTTAGTCCCATACCAAGATATTCTTGAAAAAGAACAAGTTGGGATGAGTTGGCCTACTAGGTATGGAGAGTTATTACAAAGCCATAGTAACTAAGATGTGCTCACTAGTACGGGGATCAACAAATAAACCAAGAGAACAGGATAGAGAGCCCACATCAGACTCAGGCACTTATGGACACTTGACCTCTGATCCCTGAGGAAAGGACAGCTTTTTAAATAAGCCGTCCCGGGACAATTGAGTATTCATATAGTAAAAGTAAATTCAGAACCCTGTATTTCACAGTACACAATCAATTCCAGGTGGATTAGTGACCTAAATGTGAAAGGCAAAGCTATAAAGCTTTTAAAGGCTTTAGAAGGTAATATAGGAGAATGTCATCATCATGTCAGGGTTGGGAAAGATTTCTTAAACAGGAAATAAAAAGCAATAAAAGAAAAGATTGATAAATTGGACTACGTTAAAATTAAGAATTTGGGATTATCCAAAGATGCCATAAAGAGAATGAAAAAGTAGACTCAGAGTAGGAAAAGATATTTGTAATATGCAACTGAAATGTAGCATCGAAAATGTCTGAAGAACGAATCAGTAACCTCTCTCTTTAAGGTAGGGATGCGGGAGAGGATGTGATGGGGAAGAAATGCACTGAGGAAAGCGTCTGCATGTTTTCAAATGTTTGCATTCTTTTCTCTAAACTGAACTTACGTTTTATGCATTTCTCTATATATAAGCACATTTCTTAACCAAAAAATGGAAAGGAATGAAAACAATAAAGAAATACAGTTACTGTATTAGTTTTCTAGGGCAACATAAAATACCACAGACTGGGGGCATAAACAGCAGAAACTCATTTTCTCACAGTTCTGGAGGCTGGAAGTCTAAGATCAGGATGTCGGCAGGTTTGGTTTCTCTGGAGGCTTCTCTCCTGGCTTGCATATGGCACCTTGTTGCTGTGTCTTCGCATGTGCTTGAGCATCCGTGGTGTCGCTTTGTGTTTCTGAGTTTCCTCTTCTTATAAGGATACCAGTCAGATTGGATTAATGTCCACCCTAAGGGCCCCATTTTTCTTGATCTCCTCTTTAAAGGCCCTCTCTCCAAATACTCTCACATTCTGAGGTGCTGGGGTGAGGGTGGGGTTAGGGCTTCCACATACGAGTTTCTGGAGAGGCACAATTCAGACATAATAACACTGATTATGTCATAAAGATTTGAATAGCAAATGGATGCTTGTGATGTAGATAAAATTTCCCAAGCCAATTTTTGGATTCAAAAAGTGCTAGATCTAAAAAAAAAAATCTAAGATAGAAGTAAAGATGTTGTGCTCTGGAGAAGTATGTTAAATGACTCAAAATATGGATTTAGTACTGATGTTAATTATGTGTGTGTAAAGTTGGGATGCATTTTTTGGAAAATGTAAGAGCGATAAAAAGCAATTTCTGAATCAATTTACTATTTTACACAAGTACTCTCTAACATAAATGTATACCTAAGTGAATAAATGTAATTTTAAGCAGATCTTTTAGTCTCATCTTCATCCCTAACATGTATAAATTCTAGTGGACAAAAAAGTTTTTTAATCTTTTCACTGGGAGAAAAGAGGATGCATTTTATTTGGTCGTATATGGCACAGATCTTCCTTGACTTACAGTGGGGTACATCCTGATAAACCCATTCTAAGTTGAAAATATCCAAAGTTGCACCATCTTAAAAGTCGGAAAATTGTAAGGTGAACCGTTGTAAATTGGGGACCATGTGTATTTTTATTAGGGTAAGCTCTACTATGACACAGTATGTTCATTCCTAAAATTTGCCCCACTGTGCAAAATCATGCAATGAAAACCATAGGGCTTATGGGAAAATGAAGACACAACACTCAAAAACTTTGTCAGTGACACTTAAAAGGGTTCCTAATAAAAATAGCAGCACAGTTTTATACATGTTAACTAGTTAAGAAATACGTAAATACTATAACAAACATTGCACTTTACCTTAGAAGAGACCTGAAATTTTCTTGTGGAAGTGGGCATCAGAAGGGTTGCGTTATGTGAGTTATTACCAAGTGATGGAAGGAGAGTCATATGAAATTGGAGGGAAAATTGTGATACCAGGTACGGATGAGTGTGGCTCATAACACACATGACAAATTGAGTTAGCCGGTAGATGTTTGGGGGGGTGTGTTTTGTGTATTCCTGTATGGCTTGGTTTAGCTGGGTGAAGTTTTTACTGTTCATCTTGGGTTTCTTGCAGATAAAATCACACATAAACAAACACAAGAGTCTTGCTATGCTCAAGTTGTTGCTTAGTGTATCAATCATGTTGGAACATATTGGTGTTATCATACAGCATAATAGCAGAGTTTACTGTACTGAATTTTTAGTATCATTCATAGCCCCATCTTTTCCTCTTTACATGTTTGGTAAGGATTTTGCATTAGGCTCTTTCTAGTGAAATTTTGAAATAGTCAAAACTAATATGTAACTGTTACATAACACCTTAAGTATCTTGGTGAATTTTAAGTTTTCCCTGGCTAATAAACTGAGTGGTTTGGGTGTAGACTCAGAGTTTTGCTTAAGTCAGATGGATGATCACTGTGCCACACAGAAAAGCATCAGTTCTTTTGTTTCAAACAAGATCATTATGTTCGGTGACCCCCCTGTTTCTGGTATTGCTACCAGGGTACCTTTAAGCCTTAACCTGAATCAGTATTAAAAGAGCATGTGCGTGGTTATGTTTTGGGGTCCTTCCCATTCGTTTGTTGCTTTTTATCCACTGTGGCTATTTTATTCCAAAGCTTAGTAACTACAGGTTTCCAGAAGTCTTTGTTCTTTCACTCTCTCTCCCTCGACTGGAACGGTCTGGCCAGACAAGGGAGAGAGAGTGAAAGAACAGTGAGGGTAAATGAAATGGCTTCTCCTGGTTTTCCTGACCTCCTGCCACAGTTTCTTTGGATCACTTTCAAGACCCTCATTTTCATGCCCTGGGCTGGAAAATCAGTTTTCCCTCACAGCGTTTCCATTTCTCTCTCCTATCTAGGCATTCCTTTATGTTTCTACTGTCCTCTGTGCACACATTCCTGTTAAAGTATATATCGCATTGTTTTGGAGTTTTGCAGAGTTGGGCTCTCTCTCTCTGAATAAACTGCATACTTCTTGAGGGCACAGACCATATCTTTATCCTTTTCACATTTCTACTACATAGCTCAGTGCTTGGCAGTGGTAGTTGAGTGAGTGGATGGATGAAGGAATGAGTTGGTCTTGCAGAGGGCTGTTCATGTGATCCTATTATTTGTGTTACCCCCTCATTTTGACTAAAATACATAATCTCTAGGTATCTTGGCCACTTGAACTGTAGTATTATGAATCAGATTTGTGCATTCAAGCTTTTTAGCAGTACCATAATAAAATTTCCTTTTGTTGAACCAGAGATTGTACACCATCTGTTTTGTTTTTGTTTTTTGATTTTTGGAGGGTTTTCTGTTTTGTTTTTGCTCCAGATAGTAAATGAGCATGGCTAATTTGCAACTTTAGGATTAGGAGTCTTTATGACAATTGAGTAGTAAAATCCCATTTTTCAGCTTGCTACTATGAATTAAAAACAACTATTTTTGAAATTTTCAAATATTTATATGTTTATGAAGTGGAATAAACTAAAAAATGGGGAGAGTAGTTCTTTTAAGATAATAAGGGAAAATGTTATGGCTCAATTCTTTATTATTGCAACTGTAAGTAATTTTTGAATTGTTTTTAAGATTTCCTTTTTCTTCTTATAGGACCTCTTTGTTGTTAGACATGAATTGGCCATAATGAGACTAGCTGCCTTTATGGGCATTACAATGTTCGTTGGAATAACTGGACTCTTTTATACTCAACTAATTGGCATCATCACAGTAAGTATATTTTTAATGTAATGTATTTGTGAACATATTGCCTAATTACGAACTTAATTCTAAAAAGTTACAGGAAGTTTAGAAATTAAAGAGGAAACTTATCCGTAGTCATTTATGTATTTCCATTTCCGTATGCCTGTGTAATTTTAAAGTAGTTATAATCAGTGTACAGAGTGTACATATAATTTTGTATCCTGCTTTTAAAAATTAGATTAAAGTATTTTTATATGGCTACAGACATCATGTTTATAGTTTTTAATAGTTGGATATACTATTTAGTGAACATAACATATTTTAATTAATCATTTTTCTGTTGATCAGCATCTACTATGCAATCTTTTTTTTCTGTATTACAAATACCTCTTTGAACATCTCTTTTTCCTCTTTAAACTAGTAACTTAAGGTAAATTCCAAAAAATGGAATGTTGCTGGTGGAAACATTTTATTAGTAATTAAACGGGTTTTTTTTAATGTATTTATTAGCCAAAGTGGATTTGTCACAACAGAAAAGATTTTAAAAATGAGAAAAATAACATTGGTTAAGGATTTAAAAGTTTGGAAATACACTGCATTGCAGAAGATGCAGAGTAAATAGGCTTTTTCGTATGTTGTTGGCGGGGGTATAAATTGGTATAAACTTTTTGAAGGGCAAATTGTCAATGTCTATCAAAATTTTAAAGGCACAACCCTTTTGACCACCTCTAGATACTGTTTTTTCACACGTGTGTAAATAAGTGTGTATATTAAAAAAGATCTTCATTGTTATATTGATATAGTGTATGAAAACTTAAGTGTTTATAAGACTATATTCAGTGGAAAAAGATGTAAGAAAATGCATCAAAACTTACTTTAAAGCAACAGTAATCAAGAAAGTGTTGTACTGGCATAAGGATAGATGAAATAGAATTGAGAGTCCAGAAATAGACATATATATCTATGGTCAGTCAGTTTTTCAGCAAGAGTAGCAAGACTATTCAATAGGGGAAAGAAAAGTCTTTTCAACAAATACTGCTGGGACAGCTAGATATCCACATGCAGAAGAATGAAGTTGGGCCCTTACCTCATACCATATATGTAAATTAACTCAAAATGGATCATAGACTTGAATATAAGATCTAAAGTTATAAAACTCCTAGAAGAAAACATAGGATTAGGCAATACTAAGGATTAGGCAATACTAAATCTTAGACTAGGAAATAATATCCTAGATATGAAACCAAAAGTGTAAATAAAGAAAAAAAAGATAATTTGGACTTACTCAAAACTGTAAACTTTTGCACTTCAAAGGATGCTATCAAGAAAGTGAAAGGACAGCTCACAGAATGGGAGAAAATATTGTGTTTCTGATAAGGGACTTGTATCTAGAATAAAGAACTCTTAAACTCAGTAATAAGAAGGCAACCTAATTAAAGCATGGGGAAAGGATCTGAATGGACATTTCTTCCAAGAAGATACAAATGGACAACAAATACTACATGAAAAGATGCTCAACATCATTAGTCATCAGGGAAATGAAAATCAAAACCATAATTAGGTATCACTTCTCATGCACACTAGGAGGCTATAATAAAAAAAGGTAATAACAAAGGTTGGCGAGGATGCAGAGGAAGCAGAACCCTCATGCACTACCAGTGGGAATGTAAAATGGCGCAGATACTTTACAAAATAGTCTGACCATTCTGTAAATAAACATGAGTTACGTTTTGATTCAGCAATTCCACGCCTAGGTATGTACCTAAGAGAAATGAAATGTATGTTCACATAAAAATCTGTACATGAATATTTATAGCAGCATTAGTCATAATAGACCAAAACTCTCAGCAATCCAGATATCTATCAGCTGGTGAATGGATATATACAAAATGTGGTATATATCCATAAAATGGAATATTATTTGGCCATAAGAAGAAGTGAAGTACTGATGCATGCAACACCATAGATGAACCTTGAGAGCATTATGCTAAGTGAAAGAAACCAGTCACAAAAGGTCACATATTTGTATCATTCCATTTAATGATATGTCCAGAATAGGCAAGTCTATAGAGACAAAGTAGATTAGTGGTTGTGTGGGGTTGGGGAGCTAGTGGGGGCTGGAGATAATGGCTAAAGGGTACAGAGTTTCTTTCATAGGGTGATGAACATGTTCTAAAATTGATTGTGGTGATGATTGTATGACTCTGTGAACATACTAAAAAACCATTGAATTGTATACTTTAAATGGGTAACTTTTATGGTATATGAATTGTATGTCAATAAAGCTGTTAACAAAAAAAGAATATTTCTGGCATAAATTAAATGTTAATTTTATTCATTTGTTCACATTCATTCATTTATTTATTCATTTTATATATGGTTTGTTGATGTCCTTTGTCTGTTTTCTATTCAGGTGTTCTTTTCTCTTATGGTTTAATAAGAAATGTTAATAAAAACATTCAAAAAAAAGAAATAATGCAGAGGTAACTCTCTCTATCCCTCTATCTATATGCAAAGACTATCTATGGAAAGACACATGAGATACTAGTAATGGTACTGGCCTCTGAAGAAAACTGGAAGAATGCAGTCAGAAATGGAAGGAAAACATATTTATTGTGTAACCATTGTTTTAATATTTTGCAAGGTACTCATAATAACCTTTCCCCTCTAGATTTTATAGGAAGAATTTTAAACACAGGAAATTTTAAAGAATCTTACAGTGAATCCTCAACCACAATTAACATTTTAGAGTATTTGCTTTATCTCACTTCAAATTGTCCATCAATCCATTATATGTTGTAATATATATCAAAGTACTTTGCAGCATCAGATAGTTCACCACACAAATCATTAACTGGAGCTCAGTGCTTGTTTATGTTTTTTCCTTTGAGGCAAATTTTACATACAATGAAAGACATAAATGCACACATGTGCAACCCAAACCCCTTTCACAATAGAGAATATTACCATCACCCTAGAAAGTTCCGTCATGCCTCATATCAGTAAGTCCATATCCTCTGCAGAGGCAGCAGTGATCTGTTGGTTTTTTTCCCATGCATCACAGATTAGCATTGGTTATAGAATTTCATATATACCCATTAATATGTCTCCTTTCTTTCAATATAATGTTTTTTTGATTCATCCATGTTGTTGCATGTATTGATAATTTTTTTTATTGCTGAGTAGTATTCCATTGTATGACTATACCACAGTTTGTTTATCCATTCTATTAAAAGACAACTGGTCTGGTTCCAGGTTTTGGTAATTATGAGTAAAAACACTGTGAACATTCTTGTTCAAGTCTTTTTGTGGAAACATGTTTTCATTTTCTTGGGTAGATACCTAGGAGAAGAATTGCTGGTCACTTGAGACAGGTTTATCTTTTATTTCATAAGAAATTGCCAGGCCTTTTCCCCAGGCAACTGTATCATTTTGCACTCTGACCAACAATGTATGAGAATTCTGGTTGCTCCACATCCTCATCAGCATTTATTGTCAGTCTTTTTAATTGCAGCTGTTCTAGTAGGTTTTAATAGTATCTGGTTGTTTTAATTTGCATTTCCTTGATGACTAATGATATTGAACACTTCTTCATGTGCTTATTGGACATTCATGGATTGTATAATGTCTGTTTAGATATGTTTTTATTATTATTCAGTGGCTTGAAATGTTTTCTAGTATCTCTTGTGATTTATCTAGTGATGATGATAAATAACATGATATTAGTCACATTCCTGTGGACGAGAATAGGGCTTCCCCTAACATCTTTTTTCTCTGCTTTTATGCTCATTCATAATTACTTTATAGCCTATTCATAAGTCAAGTCTAAATTGCCAGGTTATGCTTGCATTTTTGAATTTCCACTTTTGAATTTGCCCAAATCATTGGTATATATTTATATTTCCTGGAATGAAGTTTCTCTGATTTCCCCCAATTTCTTATGATTAATGACTGGAAATGGACATTTGAGAGTGTTGCTGTTAAGACTACAAGTTACTTCTGAGAGCCGTCAGAGGTTTATAGCTGAGGGTAACAGTTTCCTTCTCACCTAAGCGGAAAGTGGGGTTTGGCAGCAAAGACTTCAAGATATTTTAAGAATTCCTATTCTCAAATTTTAGTAATCACTTCTGAGTTGGACATAAAGTTATTTATAGTATTTGCTGGTTTTTAAAGGGTATATAGTATCAGGTCCCTTTCTGACTATTCCGTACTACCAGTATGTTAATATTAATTTTCAAATTGCATGATTTTCTCTTTTGCTATAATATTGAACAACATTTCACCATTTTAAGACAGGGAGATTGGATCTGATGTTGTGATATTTCTAAAACTGAGTAGAAGCCACATTTGTTAAATAATGCTCTCTCCCCAAGTCTCATCTCTTTCTGTATACATTTAGTACCCTCTCAGAACACTCTGTGCTAGACAGGTCTCATGTCTTTGGAAATTATACATTTGTGAAACATTTAAAAAGGAATGCAAGCATTAAGAGAGAGAATATATTCCATTTGTTAGTCCAACCTTTAGGCACTGTACTTCCTCTTGAATCTAAGTACTTAAAAAAATTACAGTAAATTTCAATTCCATTTACCTGGGCTTTCATAGTGAACTTCAAGTACCACTCTTTTTGAATGAAAAAAACATTTTTTAAAGGTTTCCAGAATTCACTCCTCCCCACATTGATTTAAGGTTCTTTAGGGCTTAATTATTTGAAGTTGTTATGCATTCAGTATTTAATTTTAAATCTAACGAATTATTAGTATTTAAAAATAGTATTTAATATTTAAATTTAAAATATAGATTTTGCTTCCTTTCTTTATAAAATATGCTTGCTGTTTCATTTTATAAAAAATTAATACTGCCTACAGGACATTTCACATCTGGACATGTTTTTGTCATAATCTGAATCCATGGATCTCTCTTTACAGTGTGAAAGCAGTGACGAATTTGTCAGTTAGCATAAGAAAGAAAAGGGGGAGAAAGAATCACAGTGAATTTAATTACTTCATCGATGTCTTCCTCCTTCC